GGGGTTTGCATTATACAAACTCGGGGAATAAATTATTCTTTATCATACCAGCAATTTCAATCAACTGAATATGATATCACACACTTGGATTATTACTTAATTGTGAGGTTAAAGGAAAGCTGTCTCTATTCTTTGTGACTTTTTCGTCAGCAATTGAGTACTTGCCTTTGCAAGATTCTCAGTGGTTCAGTTGGTACATGTAGATGGACAGATATGGTGGTGATTTAGGTAGGTTGATTTCAATGATTAATTGATGCTTAATTCAATGATTTCAAACTGGGTGTCAGCAGTGGGGTTGTTATAGTTAAACTCAATGCTCTCAACAGAAGTGTAGAGGAAGGGAAGGGACAGAGAACATTTGTTCAGGGTGCCTGTTCCTGATCACTTGCCCATGATTGATACTGACGAACCTCGGTGACTGGGTGAGGCTGGAAATGACCACATGGGAAAGAGGGCACATTGTTCATAATGGCTCAGACCTTGAGAGGTGTAGATATGCAAAGAAAAATCTCCCATTTCTTGTTTTGTCGATGAAATTCTTGGAACTTTCAGATCCTGAATTTCCAGACCTGTTGGATTCTGAATGCATAGAGCTGTGACAGCGATGAGAAAAAGGACAATTATTAGCCCATGCAACGCAATTTACATTGCAGTGACAGAAGGGTGGCAGGCTGGCCAATTCTCAAAGCCTTGGTTCCTTCTGAGGATGCCCTGGATTTTATAAGCTGAAGCTGAGTCTGTTTCTCCACTAGAACACAGTCAATCATTGTTGCGTTCTCTAAACCTCTCCAAGTTTAACATTTGGAGCCATATCCTGACCACCAACAGTGTCCAATTCTCAGTCAGACCAAAAAAAAATCTTGCGTCTGATGCAAACCAACTGGTAACTAAAAAGAAAATTAAAAAATTGGTTCAGAATTAATTGTACTAGCCACGCTGTCTGAGAGGGTTTGTTTTGACGTGCAGAAGAAAGAATGAATGAATTTTGAAAGAACTATTTATTACAGAGAGCTGAAGAGAGATTTTATAGTGAAAAATGTGACCAATTGTGGCCCAACATTTGACTATTTGGACTTGCTGTGACAAATCAATGTTACATATTTCACTCCCCGTTTCATGAAATAAGCGAAGCAATCATTACCATCTATCTCAATAAGCCCTTAACAGCTTCAGCGTATGCACTGATCTACAGTGCAGGTGATGGGAATATTGATCTAAGGTCCAGCGTAGTCATTGAAGTGCTACTCCTTAAAACTCCAGCTACCTGAATTATAAAGTAAAGTGATATTCTCGCACTCCTGCAGGAACAAACAACAGGAACGAACAGTGGTGGGGCTTGGTGCCTGGGGACGATTATGCGGCAGGCCCACAGCGGGCACTCAATGGGTCATTGGCTGTGGTTGTGCTCGATGCTCATCGGGTCATTGTTTGCAGCCAAGATTGGTGCCTGGGGCGGGGCTGCATCCTTTGTGTAGTATGAGGTTGAGTTCAGCGTGGATTGGAGGTGAGGCCCAGGGTGGACTGGAGGTGAGGCCTGGGGGGATGGACTGGAGG